TAGTATACCCAACAAAAGCAATTTAAGGAAGGGGGCTCATTTTGTCTCAAGTCAAGCCCACCGTTGTAGGGAATCCTGGCAGCGGGAACTGGAGGTAGCTCAGTTACGTGTATCGGGAAGCAGAGCGAGATGGATGCTGGCGCTCAGCTTGCTTTCCCCTCCTCACAGAGCGCAGGACCTGAGCCCATGGCATAGAGCCGTGCTGCCCAGATGTAGCGGGGCTTTGCCTACCCCAGTTAAGCTCATCTGGAGAACCCCTCACAGACATGTTCAGAGACGTGCCTGTCAGTCATCCTGGAGCCTGCCAAGTGGATCATCAGGGTTAACATGTCAGTGGGTCGTGAGTCTTTAGCTCACGCTTCATTTTCTGGGGTATGCAAGGAGGATGCTCTAGGGTCTTGTGCAAGTGCCAGTGATGGAAAAAGTCCGAGGACGGTCTAACTTTTCTTCCATATAAATCATTTGATTGATTGATTGGTTTGTTTGTTTGTTTTGTTGTTGTGTGGATACACTGCTAACTTTACTTGAGTGTATCTCGGGTGACATTTACTCTTAGGATGTCTGGTATTTTATTATGTCATGTAGATGTTTTGTTTATATGTCAGAAATCACCTAATTACTGTTTCTTTTATTTCTCATTATATTTTTCTTTGCGATGTCTATTTCCATATGTTAACTTTTCTTCATTCTCACTATCCACTACTTTCCTTCAACATTTTTATTTTTCAATTTTGAAGCTTTCAACCTTTATATGTCTCAGTCATCTGTATGATACTATCTGTTGTTTTAAGTAACTTTGTTTTCTCCAGGTTGGCCTTTTTTAAATGACAGGGTAGTGTAGCCCAGACTGGCCTTGGACTTGAGCCACTCTTGCTGCAGCTCCCCAGGCACTGGTGCTACAGGTCTGCCCTCACACCAGCTTAGCTGACTTCGCCATGGTCTCATGGTCTCACTGTTAGCCTGGGCTGGCCCAGAACTCACTACGTAGACCAGGATGGTCGAGCAAGTGGTAGTTTTCCTGCCTCTGGCTCTGCTGCCTGAGTGCGGTGTTACCGTTACAGACCTGACCCATCATGCCCAGCCAACCCTATGTTTTTGAGTGGATTTTTTTACCCTTTGATTTCATATTCTTTGTGTGTGTGTGTGTGTGTGTGTGTGTATGTGTTGCACGCATGTGTGTGCATGCATGTGTGCTTGTGCATGCCAACTTTATGGAGTTGGTTGTCTCCTTCCACCTTCCTGTGAGTCTGGGATTTGGACTCGGGTGATCAGGTCGGTTTGGCTGCATCTTCATCTGCTGAGTCATCCTCACTCCTTGCCTGTGTCTCCTCACCTGGGATCTGGAGAAGTGGTTCAGAGTTGCTGTTCTGACTGCTCCTTAGAGCAGTGTCTCCTTCACCCGCTGGCTTGACAAGGCCGTCTGGTGCACACGGTTACTTTAGAGGTCACACTTAGTGACTTTTTCTCATACCAATCGTTTGCATCATTTGAGCACTATCATTTTCTTTTGGTATGTATTTATTTTACTAATTGCTTACATTACTTACTTATGTAGTGTTTGTTATTTAGCCTTTCCAACTATACAGAGACCCTTCTGTCTGTCTGGTGTTTAAAGTATGTCCCCTGGTTAGGGAAGGCATCACTCGGCCTGTCCTCCCCACCTCCCGTTTCATTTGCTGACTCAGTGTGGGTCCTGGTCACCGCAGTTTCATTGTAAGTGTGGACCAGGCTCTCCTGCTCTTATGAGTGGGTGAAACCCATCCTGTCAGGTGTCTCCTCGGCTTTATCTATAATGCCTGTTGGTTATTTGGCTTCTCTTTTTCTGGTCTGTGAGCTTGGCAAATGCCCATGTACGGTTTTGTGCTTCTCACACAGACACTTAATATCCGCACACACCTTTTTAGCAGTTGATGGTTTGTTCCTGTCATCATATATTAGGGGATTTTGTGCATGAGGTTATGATTTTGGTACTTAATTCTCTTTGACTTTATTCAAGATTTAGAGAGATTTAAATTTTAAGTTCCTGACCTGGTATGGTGGTACACTCCTGTAATCCCAGTACCAAGGAGCAGAGGCAGGAGGATTTGGGTTTGAGATCTTCTTCATCTGCATTAGATTTTTTTTTAAGTTTTGCTATTTACATGTCATGGATCACCACTTGCTGCATAGACTATACTGATTCCACTGTGGTTATATTAAATGCAGGCTGAACTCCTACTGGAAGTTAGCTATATGGTAGGTCTTTTATTTTTCTTGTTAATAACTATTAGATTACTATATCACCTACAATTAGATTGTCATAAAATACGGTTTCTTTCTTTGGTGACCTCTTATCTGTTAGCCACAGTAAAAGAATTATATAAGTAATAGATACGTTTTTGCAAATCTGACAACAGCAATTGGAGTTTTTAATATATAACTAAAAATTATATATGTATAGTAGCTTTCTGGATATAATCTGCATACTAAATAATTGACTCATTGAAAGTACAGAGTTAAGTGGGTTTTTTAGTGGATTTACAGAATTGTGCAACTCGTGCCATAATTTTGAAACACTTCCAAACCTTGGAAATAAAATGGCTTATTGGATGCCTTGTGTCATTTCAGCTTCCTCTGACCCACTAACCCCCGCCCTTGGCAGAAACCAATCTGCTTTCTAAGTGTGTGTTTACCTGCTCTGTTTGTTTTCTCTCCTTCCCTTCTCCTCCCTCTGCATCCCCAGCCTTCCCAGGCTCCCACCCAACTCCAGTGTTTCTGGAGACTCAATCCAAGGCTAGCTAGGCCAGCTCTGCCTATGAACCACATCTCCAGGCCTTGTGCTTTTCATATCAATGGAACCACGTAGCATGTGGTCTTTTGTGCCTGGCTTCATTGGCTTAGCATAATGTGTTCCCTGTCATCTGTGTGATAGGCAAGTTAATATTTAGTGTCATTTTATTTCCAAATAGTATTTCACTGTCTGAATGGTTCATTTTGTGATAAATATTTGTCTTTTTTATCATTATGCGTGATGATTTTTGTTTTTGCTTTTTAGCCTACTTGTGACTTAAGTTACTTTTTCTCTTCCCTTTTCCTCCCTCCCTTCCTCCCTCCTTTCCTCTCTTCCTTTTGAATCAAGGTCTCACTTTGTAGCCCTGGCTGGTCCAGAATTTGCTATGTAGACCAGACAATAGTAAGATTAATCGTATTGCACCATTTGTCTTTAACCGCTGGGAATGTTTTGGCCGACCTCACCTCGTCATTCCTTCTCCCCTGCCATTAGCCTCTGTTTCTCAGACGTTACTGCTGTTCTGTCTTTGGTGCTTACATTTATTCCCACAGTGATGGACCACTGCTCATGCTTGCTAGAGGCCCACATGGACAGCTTCCTTCTGTCTGAAATGGAAACAGTGCACTTTCTTTCTTTAGTGCATGTGTCTGAGTGATGCATTTTCTCAACGATGTGTGCAGGTTCCAGAAGGTGGTGGATCCTCTAGAACTGGAGTGTAGGTGACTGTGAGCCACCTGATGTGCGTCCTGGCAGCTGGACTCCTAACTGCCACGCTGCCGCTCCAACCTCTTTGTGTATTTGAAAGAATCTTACTGCTCAGCTCAAGTTGACAATTGGTTTTCTGCTTTAAAGATTGTATTTAAAAAAGAAAAAAAAGATGTATTCTAATGTCCTTTGTTCCCCTTGTTGCTGCTGAAAAGTAAACAGAAATCTAATTTCTGCTTCTTTTTTTGTTGTTGCTTGCCCCCCCCTAACCCCACAGGGTTTCTCTGTGCATCCCTGGCTGTCCTGGAACTCACTCTGTAGACCAGGCTGGCCTTGAATTCAGAGATCTGCCTGTAGCATGAAGGGGCCGGCTAGTTGGGGTTTCTGTCCCGCTCAGTACCCCACAACCGGCAATTCCCAAAGAAAATCACACACAGGACTCCATAAGATTATAAACTGATTGGCCTATTAGGTCAGGCTACTTATTAGTTCTTATGACACATATTACCCCATTATCCTTATCTACATTATCACATGGCTTGGTACCTTTTTCAGCTGGGCAGCTTACATGTTGCCTCTTCAGTGGTCTGCACAGGAATGGCAGAGGAACCTCCCTGCTTCCCAGAATTCTCCTGTTCTCATTGCATCACCTCTACTTTCTGTCTGGTTTTCCCGCCTATACTACCTGCCTGGCCAATCAGCATTTTATTAAAATATGATTGACAGAATACAGACAATTCTCCCGCATCATATGCCTACCTTTTTTGTTTTTTTAATAGTCTCATTAATTACTTTGAAATGTTATCTTTTGGGAATTTCTTCAGTTTTACTGTGTGATAAGCATGTCATGACAATTATATGATAGTGATTTGTAGTTACTAACGTCACATGTCTTTGAGCTCTCCTAAGTGACAGTTACTGTTCTGCAGACCGTTATGCACTAGGAGAATCACTAATGTTTACTCTTGGTTTGGTTTGGTTTTGAGACTGGGCTGCCCTATGTATCTCTGACTGGCCTGGAGCTCACAGATCTGCCTACTTCTATGCCCAAAGTGTTGGATTAAAGGTGTGTGCCACCACACCTGGTAGCAGGAGGTTTGTTATTTAAAGAGACATTGTAGAGCCTGAATTGGTGGTTTGTGCCTGTAATCCCAGCACTGGGAAACTCAGGCAGAATTGAGAGTTCAAAGCCAGCGTGGGCCACATGAGTCTAGGTCAGTCCAAATGAATAACAAGATACTGTCTAAATAAAGGGGAAAACAAAACAATGCCACCACCACCACCCCTCCCCACCCTAAAAAAGGAGGAGGAGGCCATGTTAAATCTTTTTGGAAGACATCATTGCAGTTCGTCTGCTTTCTTTGCTTGTGGAGTTGCGTATCTGTGTCCTGATGTAAGCAGGTACAGTTCCCTTTGTCTGTCTTCCCACAGCATTATTGGAAATAATTATGAAAAATGGAAGCACCGCTGGAAACAGCACACACTGCCGACGACCTCCAGGGGGTGGGGACCAGAGCCAGCCTACCTGCACAAAGGACGGCACACCGAGTAGTGCTGAAGGAGGAAAAGTCTACACCAAAGACCAAGTAGACGGAGTTCTCAGGTAATGTGATGATGTCATCTCCATGAGCGTTGATTCTGATCGAACTTAACTGATGTCATAATGCCAGTTGCATAGAAAGGAAACAAAGGTGTTCCCGGGGCATCCGGTGCTTCAGAGTCTTGGTGAGGTCAGCCTTTATAAAGCTCTGTGGAAGGTTCCATTCTTTTAAATCAACGATATGGCCCAAGTGTAAAGTGATGACTTCAGCGTTGATTCTATGCGTTGTTTGGCCGGTAGGAGGGGGGAGATGAATTTCTGTGCTGGCGTATACAGTTGAAAACGGGAGCGTTTCATAGGAGGAAAATTGAGAGTCAGGGCAGCCATGCTTTACACTTCCTGCCTCTACATCCTCTTTTTCTTCCCAGTTTTGCAAGGCTGCCTTTGTACACAGACACCACAGTGCTCCATCCGGTTGTCCCCTCTGGTCCTCTCTTCATACACGCCTGTATGCAACAGAGTGGGTTGGAGCTGAGCAGCGAGAAACTTGGTTTTAGAAATACTGTGTTACTAATCTTATAAATAAGAGAGGGTTTTCTTGAAAAAAGGCTAAGCTAAGAGGTATGAAATACTTCAGAATAGATTGTTTTGTTTCCTGTTGGAAGTTTTTGGTTTTTAGTGGTTTTTTGGTGACTTATTTATTTATTTATTTTGGCTGTCTGGAACTCGCTCTGTATACGAGGCTGGCCTCAAATACCCAGAGATCTGCCTGTTTCTGTCTCCGAAGTGCTGGGATTAAAGGTGTGCACCACCCCTGCCTGGCTCCTGTGGAAGCTAAGGAAAGTGTTCTGATGCTGCTCTTCCTGGCAGCTGGTGCTGGCAGCTGATAGACTCTGGAGGTGACAAATCGGGAGGGCGGATCCCGTGGCATTGTGACCTGATGTGAGGAAGCACAGGAAAGCAGCAGAGTGGGTCCAGCATAATTTCTAGAACATATACTCTGAGACTCGGATCTTATCAGTGATGAAAGCCGCTTGTCACAGTGTTCTGAATCTGATATTGAAATATTTCTATCGTATTTTTCCCCTTTATATGTGCATGCTAAAGCTCCATTGTATCCTTGTGTCTGAAATCACGATGAAGAAAACGTACTCCCTAGTCACGGTGCAGCCGTGAAAGAGGACATGACTGGTGTGAGTGGTAGCAAGCATTTCAAAGCCTGCCGACCACTTCCACAAGGCCGCACCTTGTCAGAGTTGACTGAATAAGTGAGAGAGAGATTGCTCCCGACTTTTTCTGGGGAAGAGTGATAAGAAAGCAGTATGCTTGAAACTGTATGCTGAAACAGGTTGTGTTCTCCTGTAGGCATTACATTACACCGGGAGAGCACACCCCGTGAATCCTGTTTCTCTCATTTTGGATTTATTTACTTTTGTTTTATATGGATGAGTGTTTTACATGTATGTATATATGTACATTACATGCATGCCTGGTGCCTGTAGAGGCCAGAAAAAAGTATCTGATCCCCCAGGAACTGGAGTTACAGAAGGTTGTAGGTGCTTGGAACTGAACCTGGGTCCACTGGAGGAGTAGCAAATTCTCTTAACCACTAAGACATCTCTTCAGCTAATCCATGAATTTTCTAATTACAAACTGAATTGTATTGTATGTAATTTTTGTGACCCTTCCCCCCAAATAGAATTACTTATTTGCTTGGAAGTGTCACCAACAAGCACAACTGCAGCTGCATATTTTAGAAAACGGTGTTCTTCCAGATGTGATGTTATTGCTTTTTTTAAGTCTATAGTTCCTCTCCCTTATAGGGAGGGAGAGCACACATGCGAGAGCCCCCAAGAGAGGAACTTCAATGAATAAGGGAAGCATATTTGTTTTAGCATTGGTGTGAGTGTGCTTCTGTGCATGCCTGTGTGTATATGTGCTTGTTTTCGTTTTCCCCATAGGTGAGGGGATGTGCTTCTGGGGACACCCTGAGAGTGAAAGAATGAGCACTAATGGGGAGCACGCATGCTATCAGAGTTGGGCAGGCGGAGACTTGCAGGAGGGAGGGCCGTTGAGGAGGCTGGGAACTTGTGGAGACTAGTAAAAGTGTGGGCTTCTTTACAGGGGGAATGCAGTGAATACAGTTAGCTTTGTCTGAGGGTCCAGCCATATTTACGATCACATTCCTTATGGATAGATGAATTTCTTTAGAAGCATCACCTCCAGCATTGCAGATTGATTCTCTAAACCAATAACTCTACTGTATCTTTTAATTTCTATATAATATAAACTATGTGTATCTAATATAAATTGTATATATAAAAATTCTGTGACTAATTATGAAGCATTCTTCTAGGTGAAATCCCTAAGTTATTTGAAATATTTCCATCAGTCCCTCGTATGTCAGTTGCCTAGTTGCGTAGTGTGTATGTTTGCAGCAGGCTTCACACGCATCTTGCGAGGTGGCAGGTGAGAGGCCAGAGCTGCACCGTGCCATTTTGTGTTTTGTTTTATTTATACACAAGGGATTTTCCTCAGGAAGGTACACTGTCTTGATAGAGAAGATGCTTATATGAACAAGTTGCTCAGTAACAGTATGGCTCAATGGGGAGAAGCCACGCAATGATGCCACTCCCGTTGCGTAAGTGCGAGGCTATAGTAAGACTGAAGAAAGCTTGTGTAACTCAGCGAGCAAGCAGTCAGCACCATGAGGCTGTCTGTCTCTGAGCTGAATTAGGTTTTAAAAAATTGAGGAAAGTGAATTTTATTTGAAGTTAATACATCATTGTAAAGCCATTTAGTATTAAACATGGAAGGTCCGTGTGGAGTCTAGCAGGCAGGCAGGCAGGTATCGTCAGTGTCCGCAACTGCTCCTACACAGATCCATCTCTTCGGCATCACAGAGACCGGACCTTCAGATTTGATTTAAGCATCAGTGCCCCTTGTCTTCCTCTACCCTTTTTTTGTTTGTTTTTGTTTTTGTTTTTAGACCAGCTCTTGCGGCATAGCCTAGACTGATCTTGAACTCATGTTCCTTCTGCTTCAGTTCCCCAGCAGTGTGCTGGGGTTGCAGGTGTGAGACCACAGTGCCTGGTCTTGTTAAATTTCAGTTCTTTAAGTTAGAGGAAGATAAATTACAGTTGTTAGACACATCAGAAGGATAATGCCTTAACTTGGAAGTGTTTCCCTAAACACCAGTTAAATCTAAAGCCTATGTATTCATTTGAGACAAAGTCTCACATAGCTCAGGATGGTCTAGAACTCTCTCCAGCTAAAGATGACCTTGATTTTCTGATCTGCCTCTACCTCCTGAATGCTGGGGTCATAGGTGTTTGCCACCACACCCAGTATGGAGACTGGACCCAGGGCTTCATGCACGTCAGGCACCTACCGTACCAACTGAGCTACAGCCCCAGTCACTGGGATCTATCGAAATGAACATCTGTAACACAGTTAAAGAGAGAGAGGAAGTTGAAAAATAACTCTTCGCTCCTGCCATTATATTTCCAGTCCAGCAAAGAAGGGATAGACAGTGGGCCAGACAGGCCCTGAGGCCTCCATTGTACAATATTTGCTTCCCAAGTTGTTCAGAAAGAAGATTTACTTGGGTTTATGTTTCTGGCCCAGGGTTAGGAAGTGGGTGGTGTGTATCTACTTGTGATCTTCTTGTTGACAGAGTTCTAAGACAGCACAGGGGAGAATGCATATGTGTATAAATGAACTATGTCCTCTGAAATTTCTTTTTAAAGATTTGTTTTATTGTTAAGGATGCAGAAAGTTTGGATCTTTCAGAAAAGAACAAACTAAACACGCAGCAAACGCTTCTTTTAACTAGCAGCATGACAGGACCTAGACTCACCCTGGAGACAGCTGCATCTGGGCACATCTGGGAGGGATTTTCTAGTCTAGGTTGATTGGGGTGGGCAGATCCTCTCTGGATGGGCAGTGCCCTTCCGTGGGCCAGTCTGCATACAGCGGAGAAGGCTGAGCTTAGCAAGCACTCATTGCCCTCTGCGCTTTAGTGTGCGCCACATCTTCCCTGCTGTGGTGGACTTCCTCACCGGTACCAGTCAGAATAAACCCCCGATGGTTTCTAAGTTGCCATAGTCAGGCATTTGGTCACAATAACAAGAAAAATTACACACAGCTTGATGGAAAGGCTGTGATGTGAGAAAGTAGGGTCTCATTGTCACTGTTCTGTTGTTGTGAGGAGACACCATGACCACAGCAACTCTTATAAAAGAAAACATTTAATTGGGACTGACTTATGATTTCAGAGGTTTAGTCCATGGTCTTCACAGTGGGAAGCATGGCAGTACACAGGCAGACATGGTGCTGGAGAAGGAGCTAAGAGTTCTACATCCCGATCTAAAGGCAGCAGGAAAAGCAAGACACTGGGCCTGGCTTGAGCATCTGAAACCCAAAGCCAACCCTTAGTGACACACATCCTCCAACAAGGCCACACCCACTCCAACAAAGTCACACCTCCTAATCCCTGTTAAGTAGCACCATTCCCTAATGACCGAACATTCAAATATATGAGCCTATGGGGGCCATTCCTTTTCAAACCACCACATATGGTAAGAGTATATGGTAGAGCATTACTTGAAGTGTTTAATTTTCCTGGCTAGTTTGTTTGGCCAACTTGACACAAGCAAGAAGAAAGAGGGAATCACAATGAAGGGTTTGCACAGAATGATTGGCCTATGGCCATATCTGTAGGAAATTGTCTTTATTTTTCATTGATGTGGGAGAGCCCAGTTGTGCTGGCTAGTTTTGTGTCAGGTTGACAGAAGCTAGAGTAACCTAAAAGGAAGAAATCTCAATTGAGAAAATGCCTCCATAAGATCCAGCTGTAGGACGTTTTAAAATTAGTGATTGATGGGGAGGGTCCAGCCTATTGCGGTGGTGCCATTACTGGACTGCTGGTCTTGGGTTCTCTGAGAAAGTAGGCTGAGCTAGCCATAAGGAGCAAGGCAGTAAACAGTCCCTGCCATGGCCTCTGCATCAGCTTCCTGCCTCCAGGCTCCTGTCCTGCTTGAGGTCCTGCCCCCACTGCTTTTGATGATGAACTGTTGTTATGTGGGACTGCGAG